AAAAAAAAAAAAGGAAATATTTTCCATCTGAGATATATTGAATTTGCAGATGTGGACCCTGTAGATATGGGGGGGCTGACTGTATTAAGCAGTTATAAAGTGCTATGCCCTGGGGAAGGCAGAGAAACATCTGATATCAGGAAAGGGGAGGTGATGGAGTGAAGGTGATGAATGCACACATCTCTGAAGGCACTTGGCCTAGAAGAGAGGAGGCCAGTGGCTCAGAGAGACCAAAGTAGAAGCACTGGAGCTTAGAGAAGAAAGAGTCAGAGTGGGGGCAGGTTGGAGGTGCAGGGACGCTGTTTGGTCAGGGCTTTGTGTCTCTTTCGTTGCCTTTTCTGCCCTGGGGCCTGGAGACACTCTGAGCAGAGAACAGTCAGGACACCTGTATCTTTGCCAACCTCACTCTACCCTTGATCAAAATGACCTTAAGTGGCCTTTCCTTACCCTATGGGACTGGAAGGAGAACGACTGACCTTTACTACAATCACAGACCACCACAGCATAGGATATGGTGTGTCTTTTCCTGGAGACTTGCAGGGGTGATGATCACTAGTCTGCTCTTTGTTTAGGGGGAGGCAAAATAGGAATAAACAGGGGCCTCAGCTGGGGACAGGTATTACAGAGTCCCTTTCCTATTATTTCTCTGAGTGTGAAATGCCCACCTCTAATAAACACAAGAAGACTGAATCAATATATTTCACCTTTTCCTAAATGCCAATCAAGTCAGGAATGGATTAACAAATTATGGTACATACCCACCATGGAATACTATTCAGCCATAAAAAAGATGGTGACTTCACACATTTTGTAATACCCTGGATGGAGTTGGAACACATTCTTCTTAGTAAAGTATCACAAGAATGGAACAGCAAATATCCAATGTACTCAATACTAGTATGAAGCCAGTAGATGATCTGATGGATGCCCACATAGGAGAAAAATTCATTTCAATTCAAGTTGGGGAAGGGGTACTGAGGGAGGGACAGGTGCGGTGCTCTCACTGAATGGGCATGGGATGGGGGTGTTTGGCACACCTTTTATGTGTGAGACATAACCACGAGAGCAGTTCTCCCTTACAAAATCAAATATTTTGACCTGGTTGTTTGTACCCTCACGTTAACCTGAAATAAATTTACTGTTCCATTAAACAAATAAAATCTCTCATGTCAGGAAGATTTAGTGAGCAAATGTTAGGTGATTGCCTTCTGGGTGCGATGCAGCCGTATGCTGTGAACAGAGACCCTTTTGTAATAATAGTGGAAAGGAACTAACACCTACAAATACTCTTCACTAGTAACTCTGCCCCTTCCGTCTCTTGCAATCCTTGTCTGTAGGTGCCCGCAAAGATTCAGTCCCACAGGTCTTACTGCCTGAAGAAGAGAAACTCATCATTGAAGAAACCAGAAGCAATGGACAGACCATCATGGAGGAAAAGTAAGTAGAGCTGGCTAATCCTTGCCTGGTTTGTATGGTCCCTGGCAAGAAGGGCTGGCTGGGCAGCACCTCCTCATCTGGGAATGTGACCTTGTGAGCCCACACAGTTGGGAGCCTTGAGGGCTATTCCCCAACAAAGGAAGTGGGGGAAGGAGAGGCAGAGGCACCCGAGCCCTGCAGAGCAGCTCCATACCCTAAGCTAGTGCAGGGCACAGGAGACTATCAGTGCTCTGGATGGGTGTAGGAGGTCCCCGAGACACATCTCTTACATTTTTTGAGTCAGGAGCTGTACTTTCACATACTTGACCTCATTTAAAATCCTACAGCAATCTGGTGAGATAAGCATTACTCTTGCCACTTCTACAGGCAAGGAAACTGAGGTTCAGGGAAATTAAGTCTCTGGCTTACCTTTGCACAGTACTGAGTGTGACCGATGAGGGAAAATCAGGTTAAATACCTTGCAGCTCATAAATTAAACACGAAGTAGCCAAATAATTCATTTGAGTCATTTCTGAAGTCAGGCCAAAATTTGCTTAGGATAGCATATTTCAAGGTGCTTCTCAACATAGCTTTATAGCTGGCGTATAAAGTGACATGGCAAAATGGGAAAGGATGGTCCAGCTCCCAGTGACTCATTAGCTCTGTGACCTGGGGCAACTTCCTTCACCTCTCTGTGCCTCAGTGTTCTCATCTGTAAAATGGGGGTGGTAGTAATACTTTCAGAATTGTTATGAGGTTACATGGAACAATAAAGGTTAGCACTCAATAAATAATGATAATTATACAAATTATTACTCTAGCTATGTTAATCTGTACAACCTTTTGAGTTTTTTCAGGAAGTGTGGTATTAGTCCCATTTTATATGTGATGAAATTAAGACCAAGCAAGGATGAGAAGGAAGGAAAGTGTTTACACATGGTTTCAGGAGTAGTAGGATGGGAACTGAAACTTACATCTCTAAAGTCTTGTCCAGAGAGAAAGACAGAGACAGAGAGGCCCTCTCAGAACACTTCATCCTTTTTTTTTTTTTTTGGTAATATATGAGATCTTCCAGAAATGATACCCCTGACTTCATATCATGTGGGGTCAGAGAGCTGAGAAGGGCAGTGGCATAGCAGAGGTGTTGTAGAATAGGCAGAGCCCTGCGACACCTCTCATTGTACATTAGGTGATGTTCATTCCTCCTCCAAAGTTAGACAAATGAGAACCTTATGGTGGGAATCTAAAAAGGCAGACCCATGAGAGCAGAGAGTAGAATGGGGTTTCCAGGTACCAAGAAGAGGAGAAAATGGGGAAATGTTGGTCAGAGGGCACCAGATCTCAGTTCTGGAGAGCTAGTTAATACACAGCGTGGTGACGAGAGCCAGCTCTCTGCATACATGGGTTCTGCATCTGCAGAGTCAACCAAACATGGGTTGAAAATGTTTGGGGAAGAAAATTGGAGGCTTGCATCTGTGTTGAACATATATAGACTTTTTTCTTGTTATTTTCTAAAAAGTATGGTATAACAACTTTACAAAGCTGTTTTTATTATTACGTATTATGTAACAATCCTTCAGAGGTAGCCGTTCACCTCTGAATCCTATCCTTGTGTTCTAGGAGTCTCGTTGACACTGTTTATGCCTTGAAGGATGAGGTCAAGGAACTGAAACAGGTAATAAAATGTGAAAGTCATTTTGTCAAATAACAGAACCACTCGTCTTCCTTGCCACACACTGGAAGTGTTGTCAGGAAAGGTCCAGGAGCAAGGTGCCGACAGGGGATTCTTATTTTCCTTGTGTCTTCATGGTAAGTTCTGTTGATTTTTCCACATTGCCTTGGGTTTGGATTCCTGAAGCTTGCTTGTATTCCTATTCAGTGCTTTGCAATAGGGTCACAAATTTAGTTCTGACTTTCCTGTTCCCTGCCATCCAGAAACAGACCTTCAGAAAAGACAGGGCTTTCCTGCAGATATAGTATAGTTCTCCGTATGCCGCTTCTACCTTGTGTGTGAGGAATGACATAGCTGGTGACAGTATGAGGGATAAATGGGAGCAAAGAGAGACCAGGGACTGGAAGTCCATTTAGGAGGTTCTTACAAAACTCAGGATGAGACATATCCATGTCCTGACCCGAGGCAGGCCAGTGAGGCTGTGAAGGAGGAGGACAAATGTCAAAGAACTGCATCACGGAGTTGGAACCTATGGACTATGACAATGTGATGCCAACATCAAGAAAAAGCCAGGGATTAAAGATGGAGCTTCTTCCCTGGGTATCTGGTTCGATATGGTGGTGCCCTGTGTGTAGATTAGGAACCAGCCACAGGAGGAGGAGAGGTTGGTGTATCAAGGAAGATATGGAGTTTGCTTTAAGACCTAATGAATCAGGCTTGGTGCCTGTGGCTCAAGCGGCTAAGGCGCCAGCCACATATACCTGAACTGGCAGGTTCGAATCCAGCCTGGGCCCGCCAAACAACAATGA